ACCACTGTTAATAAAGACACGTAACTTATATGACCCGCATTTGTCCATGCACGATCAGCAGATTGGTGGCGTAACTTCAAAGTTGCTGCTGCAGGGAATTGTGGAGAGCATTATTTCCTGTCGTACCAGAAGGATAGACCAATATATCCTTTGATACAAAGAAAGCCTTGAAGCTTCTTTCCTACACATCTACAGAATTCAAGCAAGCTCTTATCAATCGGCTGCCACTGAGGAACTTCATGTCCTCATTTAAGAAAACCCTCCATAGCCACTCCCCCCAGCCGAACCCCCCAGCAACAAAGGACTGGATAAAGCTGTTCAGCTGATGAACATAATGGGTGTGTTGGTGTTAGGGGGACATTGTGTCCTGTGCAGGGACACACTTCACGTGTGAGCATCAACGGCAGCCCCATCGCCAGCGCCAACACCTTCACGGGCGCAGCCAGCAGATCCTGGCTGCTGCGTGTCCGAGAGAACGAGTGGCGCGCCAGCAGACCGTCACGTCACCGGAACTCGGACGGCGTTGTCGGGTAACAGGCAATAATACTTACTTGTGTATTCCTTGTTTTTCTAATTTATGTTTTTCTTGTTTCCCTGCTTTTTAATATATATATATAAATTTTTTTTTTGATTGAGTCAGGCACACTGATTTTACATTTATACATTCAATATATATATTTTTTTCCTTTCCCCCTCCGGTCCTAGTTAGTAAATTAAATAGCTACATAAATAGATACATGTATAGTAAAGTAAGAAGAAGATAAATTAAAAAAAATTAATAGATAAGGAAATAAAGAATAATAACAGTGATAACATGTACCCATATACTCACATATTGTATACCCACATATAGCACATACATGTGGTACATACCCACACATGTACACATGCCAACATGTACACTACTACATTTATAAAAAGTCATACAAATAAAAAAAATACATAAAACAAAATACAACAGATAAAAACAGAACAAATCAAAAAACACACATACATTCGAGTTCCCCCCCTTCCTTCTTAATTTAGTGTCTTAAGAGTTCAGCTATTTAGGCTATCATGAGCCCCAGACAGATTCAAATAGTTTTGAGGAGCCCCTCAGGTTATACATTTATCTTCTCCAGATTTAGGTACATCATTAAATCTCTACGCCATAGAAGATGCTTTAGGTGGTATAGAATATTTCCATTCTAGGAAGTATTCTTCTACGTGCTAAGATAGATGGCAAAGGCTATACTGTCTTTAGTTTTCCTCCTCATCATTCGGTGGCCAGGTAGTACTCCAACAATGGCAGTTTCTGCACATGGTGTCAATACCATGTCCAAGCCCTCAGTAAGGTGTTTGAAAATGCTTGTCCAGTATCCTTGTAGGCGAGGACAAAACCAAAAGATATGAGTCATGTTTGCTGGTGACGTGTGGCATCTTTTACAGGTATCCGTGACATTTGGGTATATTTTGGAGAGTTTATAGTTGGTGTAATAGATACGGTGGACAACTTTTAGTTGTGTAAGATTGAGCCTGGCACAGGACGTACTCTTGTTCACTCTTGCTAATGCGCCATCCCAGACCTCCTCATCTATTGCTTGGACTAGTTCCTCTTCCCAATCTTGTTTGATTTTACCAAGCAATGTTTCTGTGAGACAGGAGACGGAATTGTAAATTCTTGAAATCAAACCTTTTTCGGTTGTTGGAGTGTCCAGAATTGAGTCAATTATTGAATCCGGAAGGGTATTGGGGAAGGAAGGGTTATTTAGTTTAACCCAGTTTCGGACCTGGAAGTAGGGAAATAGATGAGTGCCTGGAAGGCCACATTTGTCAGAGAGTTGGCTAAAGCTACCGAAAACATTGTTAATGTAAAGGTCCCTTACTTAGACCCTCCAGAAAAACGCGATTTTGCGATCGCAGAATTTACCGCATAATCAGCAAAATGGCGCAGATTTTTAAAAGGCCGCATATTTATCAAAAGGCCGCATAATCCCCGCATTTTTCCACACAAAGTTGAGAAGAAAAAAAAGTTAACTCGTCTTGACGTGACGTCATCAGCTCGCGCATCACAGAATGTAAACAACACTGTATAGAGTGAACGTGTCGAGCTCACACGATAGAGAAAACACCAAGATGAAAAAATCTAATCCATCTCATTTACCGACGAACATTTCTACTAAAGACCGGGCAAAAAGTGGGGGGAAACTATTCTGCACCCCGTGCAACTGTGTGTTGGAGCATAAGAGAAAATCAACGGTGACGACCCACTTTGATTCATTCAAACATTTGAAAATGCTTTCTGCTGCTGCGGACAAGAAAGCCAAACAACGCACGTTCACCGAGGCATCAACCTCCAAAACCCTTTCGAGGGCTCTAAGAAACGAAGTGAGTAGCCTACAAGATTGAAGCTGGTCAGATAACAAACGAGTAAATGAAAACAGAATGAGGCGGAGAAGTGTGTGTGGGGGGGTGTGTGTGTGTGTGTGTGTGTGTGTGTGAGATTAAAAAAGCCCAATTGCTTTTACAATAAATAAACATTGAATGTGTTTAATTGAATAGTAAAGGGGTTTAACGTTAGTGGCAGTTGTGTGTGAGAGAGAATAAATAAGACAGCCCAATATTTAAAAAAATTGTTATTCTTTTTCCNACTTATTAGCTTCATGGCCCTAACGTGTAAAGTTATACAAGCATTTGTACCAGTGCTTTTCACAAGTCGACTCTTACAGGCCAGAGTAGCTGGAGTGATTCAACAACAAAAAATACATATCTGAGAAGTGATCAGGACGAACAGAAAGAGGAAAAGGAAAAGAGTACACTGAAGAGACGAGGAGGGTCAGAGCAGGAGAAAGAGGAGGAGATGAAGACATTAGTGAAGAAGAAGAAATGTATATGAGGAATAAAGATGAAGTGTCAGAAAGAGGGATAGAGGCAGTGATCAGGAGGCAGATGAGACTCCAGCTGGACCACATGGTATGTTTTTATTTTCCTTGCATACATATTCCATCACAACAGCACAATCTAGCGGCTCTTAGTATTGACAAATATGTATTGAAATGTGTTGCTGCACATGTCACCTTTAGCTCTCTTAAGAGATGGGTGATGTAATTTGTGTACTTAATTATAACTAAGTACTTTTTACTGTACTTACAGTAAGCAGAATTCATGAGTATTTTCTGCTGTTTTATACTATATTTGAGTTTGTTTGAACATCTTGTTTCTCTTAAGCATTAAGAACACTTAGGGCATGATTTAACAATAAAAAGGTTATATACAGTATAAAATACCACATACTGTACTCCCTCCCATGCCACCCTGGCATGACCTCTTGCCCCCGCTTTGCCACCCCATGTAAAATGTCCTAGAACCGCCACTGCCTAAGCTACTACCTGTACCTAATATACTTTTTCTTTTTTTTTTAAAACAGAAACTGGAGCGAGCCCCACCCAGGCAAAACGAAGGAAGTCTAAATAGACTGCAGTGATGGAAACCTGTGAACTGTACTGTAAATGTTTTTGTTTCCGCTGTGAATCAGTTGATATTGGTTTCTCTGTTCCGGTTTATGAATGGAGGAAGAAACCATGTACAGATTGTTTTAAAAATAATTATGCTATTGTGTTGTCCATGCTATCATGTGAGATTGTAGTTAGAATGTGTGCAATACAGTATGTGTTTGTGTGAATGTGCTTTTTATATTAAATGCTGGATTAATCATGTGAAGACTGATGACGGAGCTTGTCATGATTGTATAATTATGTTGTAAAACTGAATTAAATTTTCTACTGCTTTTTTGTTCTGTGAAAGTGTGTAAAATGATTCATGCATTCTCCTAACGATTACCGATCATTTTGTGGTCAGTCTCAGTTTGCTCATTCCTACCAGAACTGCATTAAAGTAAGCAGTGTGATGTAAACACTCAATACCTTTAGGTGAAAATAAGTTAAAGCCCTGATAGAATATGATGCTCTAAGACTTATTTTCCCTGTACGAATGTCATAAAATGGTGAGTGAATTGAAAAGAAAATATAACCACATTGACGTACCTTGACATTTTGAGTGTGGTTCAGGTAGGGACCTAGGGACCAGCATTTTCTCGGTGTACGCATGCGCATTCAGTAAACATTGGGACTCCATTCCAGTGTGTCAGTGAGGGTTCCCCGAGCCTCGCATCCTTAACAGCTGTCTACCGAGATAACTTCACCTGCTCTACAAACAAAAACAACCTGACCATGAGCGGAGATCATGGACATGGAGACTCTCAGGTACCTTTTGCTTATCTACCCTTTTTTTTATGTCAATTTGTGTTAATTCCTTTGTAATATCTCAGCGTATTAATCGTCATGATATTAAATAATGGTTAAGAAACGTTAATTTGCGTAGTAAGTTGTGCCGCTTTCTTTGTTCTTTTAATCAACACTTTAAAATTATGTGAAGTATTTGTGGGCCTATGTTACTGTAGTTGAATGCATGCATTTCTAGGGTAAATGTCAATACCAATTGAAACTTGAATAACCGTGCTACCGGCATTTTCAAAATTGAAATATTAAAATCATATTTTTTCACAACTTTCAGGTGAATTCTGGATCCAAAGGAAGCGGTAGGTCCTCTGTCTAGGATTTGTATTCATAGTCTGTCTTATTTCCAGTCGGAATCGTGATCTGTCTACTGTTAGTTTTTGAAAGCACAGAAATGGCGTCCCAGAGGCTAAGTCCCTTCTCCTCCACTCTCTTGCGGCTATTGTTCAAAAAGAGGGTCTAAAATGTACACTTACGGCCCTCTGTTTTTTAATCTGCTGGGGTATTCTCAAAGGACCTGGCATCGTGTTTATTTTGCATGCTTCAGTTTGATAAACTGTACGTGCATTTATAACGCATTTTGGAGCCGAAAGTAGCTGAATTGTGGCTGAGGACTTAGTCTCTGCGCCATTTTCTTTTTCTGGATGTAACAGCCAGGGAGCCGACCACAGAGCCAACTGTCTGCCGTGATATGGAGGCGAGAGGCGGGCGCTTATCGCTTCACCCGGCCCTTATCTCTCCACCAGCTGCACTCCCTGCTAGAGACATTTATCTGCACTACCAACAGGGAATCCTCATACATGAGCATACAATGTCAGGTCACAGAAAATAAAGTTGCACTACATTATTAAAAGCATATGCCTTCAGCAGTCAGTTTAGCAAAAAATGTGCCTCAACACAAGAGTATCTGATACTCCTGCAGAGTTGAGATCACTTTTTTTCTTGTGTTTTAATTTCCTGTCTGATGATATGATGGGAAGCAAAAGCAGTCTATGGGAATTGATTGGGTTTATAATTGCGATGTGTATTACAATTTCCTATAGCAGATAATAATACCCTTATTAAACTGCCATGACAACGGGGCGCCACGAGGAGATGATCAAGCCAAAACAGGTCTACCTCGGGAGGAATTTAACTCAGCAGGAAACATTTTATTATGAAAGCCAAACAATAATTGTCAAAGCAGAATCACATGACTAGCTGCCCTGAAAAAATAACCTATAATGTTAGAGGGGAAGAAGTCCTTTGTGTGAAGGAAATAGCATCATCACATCACAGGTGTGGTCTGGAGCTTGAACCTTATGGGAATGGTGGGTCAGCTACAGCAGGTGTTAGCCATGATCCTCAAATAAATGCAAGGCACATTTCAATGGATATTAGGATATATATTTGGCAAAATGTTTTTTATTAAGATTTTCTTTGTATGCTGCTAAATAAGTTGATCTCTCCTTGGTATCACAGACTCCCATAAACATAAAGACAAGCACAAAGACAAGGAACAAAGACACAAAGACCACAAGAGAAACAAGGAGAGAGAGAAACTCAAGCACGGCAACAGGTAGGGTATCTTCCTCTCGAGTTAAGGTTTTCTGATATAAAACTGACCAATGGACGTTTTAACAGCCCCTGAAATGATAGGCTATCAGTGTTACCTCGACCCCTCACATGTACATATCCTCCAGTATACATTATGATACCAGCCGATGGTTTTTTCTATCATATCTAAACAAAGTATGCATTTGGATAAAGATTCTGTCTGTTTTTAACATAAAAAAGGTTATCTTTTCAACAAGAACATGTCACGAAAGTTAAGCTGCTGATTTGATGGAACGTCAAAGAACCCTGCCATGTTAAATAAGCAAACATATATCACAAAGACTCAATGAAATCCACTTTTCTGAATGCATTTGTAATCTGAACCCTTATGGGACGGTGGTTGTGAAATGCATTCAGGCTGTAGGATGTGTCACAAATTGGGCCAATCTCACCCTCTGTTGTCTACGAGAGTCTTATTATATTGTTTGCTAAACGTTTTTAAAGGCCCAGTGAAGTGTGCACCTGTGCATGATCTGTTATGCTAATATGTATAGTAATGACCAAAATTGTCTATTGAACCCATATCAAAAGATGTTGGAATAGCAATGAATTTGACGAGTTTTGAATTTGCCACCTGGAAATCTGCAGTTGACCTCCGCCTTCGTGGGCGTGGCTTGCGATCTACTGCGGGACGTCACGAGATGGACGCCGCCGCACTATTTACATTCACCACCGTTCATTTTTTCACTTTTTCAAAGTCGAATTTCTCAACGTTTTTGAGCGAGTATTTTACTGGAAAGTGTTGCGGAGTCGACTGGAAGTGATTGCCAATCGAGAAAACCTGACAATGGAGGCGACAGTGAAGAAAATCGGAGGAAAAACACACGGGAAGCGATGCATTGCCGCTGGCTGTAGTAATGTCAAGTCTGCCGAAGTGGCGATGTTTCTGTTCCCAAAAGATGAAGGTGAGCTTGGCTGGTGTCATTGTTTTGTAGATTCGTTGATTGTTCATGACAAATAAAGGCCACTGGTCGATTCGAGAGAGAGAGAGAGAGAGAGAGAGAAAGAGAGACTGAGAGAGTTACAGGGTTGATGTTAGCATCTGGTGCTAGCTCGGAGCTAACGGAGATTAGCTGTTTCAACAATAAGGAGAGGGAGAGTACTCTCGTGTGGAACTGAGAGAGATAACGTCAGCTCAGGGAGGTAAAGGACTCTGAGTAATTAGATTGTAAACTGTAGCCTAAGTTTTGTAGTTTTCAGACTGACGATATTTACTTATAATTGTCCTTTGTGGCCATTTCTGACTCCGCCGCTTTTGTTTTTTGGTCTGTATGTGTCATACAATTGTTCAGAAACTCCTGCATCATAGCACCCTATACCGAGTAAGGTATTTTATCTCTTAGCATACGTCCAAACACAAAATAAACTATGCGACAGCATGTTTATGACGATGACATATCTATTTATGTTAATGAAATGGTAAATCTTGCCGGTAAGAGCTGTAAACCATCTCCGAGTATTTTTTTTTGACACACCCAGTCAGTTTTATTACCACAAACACGTATATGTGTGTAAACTATTCTTTATATACGTTTATAGTAAAGAAAAGTTCGAAACCAGGCCGTATTTGTGAGAGGTTTAATTGTTTTGATAAAATATTTACATCTAGTTCATTTAGAATTGTCAGAGATTTTAACATTCACGATTTCCATCGTTTAGTCTAAGTTCTGTTAATTGAGTTCAATACGTAGTATGTCTTTAGAAGTTTGTGTATATTCAAAAAGATGTTAATTTCGATCGGTTCACTTACGAAAAAAAACGTGGTTGTATCTTTAACTCTCAAGGTAAGGATATGTATAGTAACACGGACAAAGTACCGATATTGTAGTTAAAATTAATAAATGTAATAAAATAAGTAGTAATTAGCAAGTTAGTTAAGTTGCCGGCCAGACTCGGATGGCCTTCCAAGGTCTGCTATCGCAGAGGCACTGCAGGTTGTTCTACCCGGGTCAAGACTAAGATTTGTTACCCCCTCTGGAAAACCTTTCAGCTATCAGTACCACGCTCTCTTTACTACAGGTTAAACTGTCTGAAAAGCCTGTCACTAATCTTACGTCCTTTTCGCGATGTCTTCTACGTTTCACCTGCTACTCCATTCGCGTCCTGTAGATACTTGGGATGTCTAAACTCGGCAGTCCTGGCAGTTCACCCCTCCTAGCTACCGCTGCTGTACCTTGCTACCCCTTCTGTACTGGCAGATGTCTGTTGTGTACTTACCAATGTCTCGATCGTCGACCGCCACGACAGTGACAGCTAAACTTTTATCCCCCCTCCCCCTAAACGGAACAAATTTTTAGAGACGAACCCCGAGTAGTCGGAGACCCTTTATTATAAATCGACACACAATGTACAGTACACACGATCTCATAATAATTTTGATCTTAATTGATAGAGCCAGTACCTTAATTTTGTATGCGGTCCCACTGGTCGGGACAAAAAAGACGAATAGACGTCACAATACCCTTATTAAGGTGGATAGTCCTATTAGTCCCCGCTCTTGTTCTTTTAATAAAAGTACGCGTGTCACATTGAAATAACCTACAAAGACACGAGTCTTTAAGTGTTATATGTCAAGGTTAATTTTACTATTAAGGTCAATGGAACGTTTTACAGCGTTGGACTGTTGTGACTTTGTAGGACGTCGTAAGGACGATTAGTATTACAATGTAGACAAATATATACAGAAATCCACAGTCAACGCTGTTGGACATTGTTGTACCTGTGACATCGGCTCTCACAGACGGACAGCCCTTATAGGGGCGACCAGTGGTCCTGGTACCTCCTCCTCTACCCACAGGTGTCGACGTATTAGCTGGGTGGCCGAAGTGCTAGACCGACAGATCTGTAGACCCACGACGCATATTCGTATGAACACCTGATCGTCGTTGTAATTACCGGTAGAGGTCGTTCTCCCGTTACTCATTTCGGAATGGTTTGTGATAAATGTTATTTCAGTAATGATCATATATTTACATAGTCAATTAGTACTACATTCCTGTTGAAAACGTTGAAATATGAAACTTATAATCAGAAAATACTAGACTTCATATTGTTTTACATTGAAACTCAACCTGGATTATAGTAGATAACAGGAAGTAAACATCATCAGAGAACTGTCATCGACAGCAGTAATAGTTTGATATTACCAAAATAGAACGTCTGCGGTGGCCTATGTGTTGTCGATGGGTATGGCGGTCGACCACTCCTGAAACGACCCCAAAAATGGATCCTGCGCTGTATTCTCACGGTGACGGGGAAGACGTCACTTTTGTTTAGCAGCTCTGGTGCAAAAGGGTAGGTACCTGATAGTGTGCCAATACTTCTTCTCTGTCACTGGTTATGTGTCAAGACTCACTTACAAATTATGTCAAGGTGTCACTCTCTACGTGTCACTGATAAACCAGACTTTGCTGACCGTACCACGGAACTACCGGAGACGAAAAAGTCCGAAGAGGTAACCGCTCCTCTGTCCTCACCCTCCCCGAGGAGGTCGGACATGTCCGGGACAGACGCGACCAAAACGTCTCCAGCTGGTGGAGGAGAGTACTCTAGTAGGTGTATCGGACGTTTGTCACAAGTTCTGTCTTATGTTTTGACGTGAAATATACAAGAGACTATTATTACCACAGACAGTATGTTCGGCTCTAGTAAGAAGTTAACCCCAAAACTTGACTTATCAGTGATTTAGTAAGCAAGTATGGGCACTATCATGGTACCCTACCTTTGAAAAGCTGCCCGCTTATACCAAGTGTTTACGTCGTGTTCTCGCGTGAACGTTGAGCATCAGCGCAGGATGCCATCTTGGGGTCGTGTCAGACTCGGTCGACGGCCATCCGATACATAGCCACCGCGCTAGTACTTGTAAGATCATAACTATACTGCTGGGCGATGACAGTCTACGTCATGTACTGTTACTTCCTGTTAGGCATACTATTACCGATGGAAGTTTCATTCCGAAGACAAATGTGTTCTAGTAATTTCTATTGTAAGTTTGCATATTTCACGTTTTTCAATAGAGTAGAAAACATTTGTAGTATATTGACTATGTAAGCGATTATGATCACTTATCTGTAAATGTGAACTGATATCTCAGTCATTCCTATACCGAGTAACGGTAGAACGACGCTACCACGTATCTCAACTGTTGACGTAGGTGTCAACGAATGCGTCGGGGTCTACAGATCTGTTCGGTGTAGCCTTTCGCTCACACTAGCTAATGACGTCGACACCTGTGGTAGGAGGAGGTACCATGGACTCTGTCTCCGCCAAAAGCTGTCGTCCTGTGAGAGCCGATGTCATAGTTCAACAATGTTAACAGTGCGACTGGATTTCTGAATGTTTGCGACATGTGTCCTTACGGTCCTACAATCACTAACTGTGCATTTCTGGTAAACCTGTTCTAGTCCTGCACTTTAGTAGGAATTGGACCTGGACAAACACTGAAAATAGCGTCTCTAGGTTATTTCAAACTGGCTCAGCGTACTGGTGTCGTAAGAACAGCAGGTGGTCCCGCCGAGTACAAACTGTGCTATAAGTCACTTTGGACGTCTATTCGTTGTCTAGGTATCTGTAGCGGTACCGCATAGATGTTTAGGGGTTACTGCTATCGAATCTGTATACCTAATATGAGATCGTTTACTGCACACGAGTCTGCATTAATAAAGGGTAATACGACTATGGGGTTCGTTGTCAATTTGTTCAGTTTAAGGTGGTAGCTGGATAAAAGTTCAGGCTGGTCACTGTGCCGTGTCGCATACAGGACCAAGAAAATTAGGGAGGTCATACGTGTGACCTTATTGTCAGCACCGCAACACGGTATGAGGAAAACCGTCACGCCTACGCAGATTTTAATGTAAGTGGGCACACGACTGCGTTGTCTGCCATTAAATTTACAGTGCAGACGGCGGTATAGCTCTTTTTCCTCGTAACTGAGTTGGTGAACCGAAACTAGGTTGAAGAAGA